TTTTTTTTTCAATTAAAAGTCTTATATTTACATACAAAGCATTTTTACTGACTGTACCTTATATCTTTGAACTTGTTTTGGTATTAGTTTAAACAATGGTATCGGTTCGGAATAGAAAAAAAATATGAATTGAAACAAATACCAGTGGTATTAGTTTTTGGTATTAGAATGGAATAAATCCCATGACGGAGCCTGGAATAGGCGTGTCGACAGGGTAAAAAAATCATAAAAGTAATTAGTCCGTCATTAAGATCGCACGAAAATATCAGACACGTATTTTTTGTTTTATCAAATTAACAGAAGAATACGTAGTTATTTGGCATTAAAGTTAGGGAGTGGGGGGTGTTGACGTCACACTTACGGAGAAATCGTACCTAAGTGTGACGTCACGCGTAATTTTAACTCAAAATATCTACATGTTTTTTTGGATACGAGAAAAAAGAAAAAATACGTATCGAAGATTTTTAAAATATCTAAAAGACGGATATCTAGATAGTCGCCATGCCTATTGTGTCCGGTATATGGCAATACACTCACCCCCTATTACATGAAACTCGTAATATAAATAGTGAAAAGTGGGTGTTATATTGTACAATAGCACTAAGTACCATAATATGCACCTCTGCCTACCTCTTCAGGGATAAAAGGAGTGATGTTGTGTTATGTAAAAGATAAACATTTTCGAGAACACACTATAATACATAATTACATGTATGTAAGGTCCACACTTGCTTACAGCCATGTTATATTATGGCCAAGGGAATAATATAATTAACAGAGTGAAGTGCTTGCACTTACTAGCCATGCACTGCTGCCTTATGGGAATTAATTAAGTTAACTGATGTTGTATAATTATGGAAAATAAATGTTGTTAGGTACCATTATGTATTATTTTCTCTTAAAGAAAAGTTCGTTATGGTGCCTATGTACTATGTAGCATAACAATGCTAATTACACTTGCTAAGGGGCTTACTCTTGAATCCAATTTCGATCGACCGACATTGGTATTGTGAAATTTCATTCTCAAGTCTCAACACTTAGCTCCCAGCGCATCCTTATCTCCGGCCACCGTAAGCGCGGGCCTGTGGACGGCGAGCATGGTTGGCTCGCGCGCGCCTCAAAGAGCCATCAGACCACCACGGTTGGGGCCCAATAGGGTTGATGCCGATACGGAGCCGTGCAGGACTTAACGGGATACTGGGGCTCCGGCTCAAAGTGCTAGGAATATAATATAGGAACGGGGTGGTTTTTAGTCAGTAAGAGTCTGACACTCCCTCCCACCTCACCCAGGCGGGAGCAGCCATTCGATGATTTTCCCCCCTTAAAAAAAGTGCAACCTTATTGCGTAGATATTTAATGAACTAAATTATATTGAGTTTGGCTTTATATTTCGTACTCTGAATGCTATTTTAACAGCTACAATAGTGATTGTATAGTTTTGACAATTAATAATTATTGAGATTTTATTAGATTGAAATTGCATTGACATTAAGATTGGTTTCACGAGTAAGCAACCAGTTCTGGACAAATATCATATAGATATAGATGCTATTATTAGTAAATTCTTTACAATTCTGTTGCTCCATTTTGTGTCTAAAATTAATTTCCTTACGTGTATTAGCAACTGCTTCGATTGCCTCGTTGGCCACGTGGTCGCAAGTGCAACTGCGACAGAGGGTTTCGGGTTAAATTCCCGGGTTGGGCATAGCACTTTTAAAAAAAATCTCAGTAGTAGCACGGAGTCTGGAATCGTGTCGTATTTGGCTATTGCCTATTGGCTTACCCCCTATTACACGGCACTCATAACATAAATAGTGAAAAGTGGATGTTACATTGTACAGCGGCATTAAGTGCCGTAATGAGAACGTTAGCCTACCCCTTCACCCCTTCTGGGTTAAGAGGCTTAACATAATAATTGTTATGTTATATATGTATTAAAATAATAATATTATTAAATATTTTTTTTTCATTATAGATGAATGGCGAGAAGCGTTAACGTCCAAAGAGTTCATGGAATACTTCGCAGAGATGTATGAAGCCAAGACGGATGAATCTTGCAGGCAGTCAGACAAGTTCACAGAGCAGTACATAGGCATGCCTGGGTCTTTTAGGGCTTTAAGTGTAGATTAGACTTTAAGTTAACAGTTTTAAGGTTTATTTTAATGTATACTGATGTTTTAAAGAGGAATTATTTGTTTTTGTTTGCATTGAATTGGCTCTGAAAGTCAAAGTACTGTATGGTTTTAAAAAATATTAAAATTTCATCCTTACTTCCTTATCCTTACTAATATTATAAATCGGAAAGTGAGTTTGTTTGTTTGTTCCGCTTTCACGTCGTAACTACTAAACCGATTGCTTTGAATTTTTGCAGACGTAAAGTAAGAAGTCTGGATTAAATAATAGGGTACTTTTTATACGGGAAAAAATAGATATTCTAGAGGGAAAACGAAATTATTGGTATAGATGGCGCTGTGTGTATTGGTATATGTCACATAGGCTACATTTTATCCTTTTGTGACGCGAACGAAGCCGCGGGTAAAAGCTAGTCATTAATAAATATCATTTTGAATTAAAGGTTATTCTGTATGTATGTATGAAAAAAAAGATCTCATATAGAATCTTCGGGACAATTTTTCCGCCGTTGCGGAGTCGAGATTTATTTTCAACACTCACAAGACCGCAAATTTCTGCGGTCCCCCAGTCGCCACGGCGCCGATTATCGCCTGCAAATTTGGCGGTTGATTATCGCGCGGCGGCGCGGGCGGTTAAATAATCAGTTGAGTTGCAGACCGACCCTGCCGGTCCCACTGCGACCGCCCGCCTACCGATCGGAAATCGCGCGGATGCTAGCCGCAGCGGCTTTGAAACCGCGGCCGCGACCGGTGCAGCGGGAGCCGCAAACAATCGCAACCGCCGGGACCGTAAAATGCACTGTGAAGAAAATTGTTTAAAATCATCCACTAAATTTATTCATACAAAAGTAGTCTCTAAACATTGGAAATAAGGTCTATAATGTAGTTAGTGGAATCTGTGGAGAGCGGTGACCGCTTGGGGATATTTGGGTTGTACTTTGAGTTTTTATATACCCGTGAGTCCATACCCTTTAGCTTTACCCATACCCATCCATACCCATTTACCCCCCTCATACTCATAAGTTCCTGAAAGTTAGTTCATAATAATTGGTTACAGTATAAAGTTTCTGAACTGTTTTACAAGTATACGTTCGTTCATTTTTTTTTAATTAACAGTTTTAACAGCTAAAGAAATAGGTAATATTTAACGGTTACTGTATTTTAAATACCTTATTTATATTTAAAAATAAATCTTTATTATGTAAGAGAATATAATATATTAAATTATTTCCGATTATTTTATTATTATTAAAGTACACATGTGTAGAACAAAAAATTGTCATTGGATCTTGAATTTAAAAATCGAGCATTAAATTTTTATTTAATTTATTAATAAATATTACTGCGATTAGGTACTCATACTTCCGACTGTAAAATGTATAATTATGTAAAAATTAATTTGTAATGTTCGGCTTAATGTAATTTAAATTAAATTATTATTTTAGGTAGTAACTATGGCTGTTGGATGTTTAATTATATGAAATAAATAAAAAAATCAACGGTGCCATTGTTTTTTTTTAATTTAAGTAGTGATTAAAGTATAATAGTAACATTGAAAATTATATTTCGTTAACTAATTATTTAATCACCTTTACAAACTACATTAAAAAAACCCGACTTCAACCGCCTCTTTATTTGAAGTCGGTTAATTAATAGATTGCTTCGTTGGCCGAGTGGTCACAAGTGCGACTGCCGGGCAAGGGGTCTCGGGTTCGATTCCCGGGTCGGACAAAGGGTTACTAGGTTTAAAAAAAATCTCAGTTGAAGCACGTCGCCTGAAATTGTGCCCGGTATGTGGCAATAGGCTCTCCCCTATTACATAGGACTCGTAACATAATTAGTGTGGTTTCTACAACCAGAATTAACAAGTGAATGCATCAGATGGCAGAATTGATGACTTTTTGGTGTAGACAAGTTCTGGAGAGGAAAGAAAGCCTTGAATAAACATAGACATAGGCCACGATGCATGTAGGTGGTTGGCAGTAGTTCGATACCAATTATTATTATTAAAGCCTATAATAAATTTATGTCAAGTTGTAGATGGAAATGGATTGATTGAATGAAGATAACGAAATCAAATATGTAGTATTATAAATAAACTTGAGTGTACAGCGCGTCGTGTTCCGCGCGCGCCTCTCTCACCTAACGGTCGCGGAGAACCTAACGGGTAACCGGGGCTCCGGCTCGACGTGCAGGAGAAGGAACGGGGTGGTTTTTAGTCAGTAAGAGTCTGACACTCCCTCCCGCCTCACCCAGGCGGGGGCAGTCATTAGATGATTTTCCCCCCTTAAAAAAAAAAACTCAATGTTTCGGCGGCAACTGTTGGCTTGGCGCGAGCGCGGGGCCCGCTCGAGCGAGGCGTGGGTGTGGCTTCGAATTTTAAATTTTAGCGCGAACGAATTCACAACGTTGCCACCATTTTAGTCATAGGTTTTGCGCTTGAAATCTCACACAAATGCTGATGTTTGTTATTAATTAAAACTAGCAGACTTAGGGAGACAAATTTAAAACATCAATAGTTCGTAACACAATATCATGGCATACGCCGTTGGAACCGTGAAATAAATACCTAATAATTAACGCAGTCACCCTGAGAGAATTATTTTCATTCATAACAATAGCTGTACCGAGTACACTAATAATTGTTAATTAACTTAATCTTAAAAATTAACTTAACACATACTTAGATCTACTAATGACATACTTATGCCGGAATACTGAAACGTTACTCAATTTTAAGTCGTGCTTAAATATCGTGCCATCTCTGTCATTTTACAAAGAATTTGTGGAGACAGAATTATACTTAAGCGCGATTCAAAATTGAGTAGCGTTTGAGTATTCCGACATTAGTGTATCATCTTACAGAGCTTACGAACTATAATGCTATATTATTAACAATAATAGGTAGGTACAGGCAAAATATTTAACAAAGTTTTGGTGGTTCGACACCGCTCACCTATACTCGTCACCGACTTAGGAGCCAACGGCTAAGACGCGGGCGCGGGCTACTGTACCTAATGTACATGGGCCGCCTCCGCCTGCGTGGCTGCGGCGACGTGACGGCCGGCGGGTGCGAATGCCGCGCCGCAACCGGCGGCAACGGTGTCATAAGTAGCACCCGGAACTCTCCGGTTCTTGACACTTTGCACATCTTTTTGCAGGACAACGATAACGAGAATGGATTTTAACTAAACACTGGAAACACAGTTTATTGACCTTTACGAAGTAAGTACCTACCTACCATCTTATCGCACTCGGGTAATCGGTGACCCGCACTACTACACAACACGCACTCACTCGATGGCGAACTTGGTGTCGCTTACGTAGGTACCTCGCTGGTGAGGTGCACTCAGCTGGTCTTCTATGTTGACGCGCGGCATCAGCGCGCCTCGTGCTCGACGTCGCGGCGACAGCAGGGTAGGCAGCAGTGGCGATGTTCCGATTGCAATGCAATTATTATCATGTTCGGTGCTTATGTTCAGCGGTAGGTGGTAATAAGCTGAAGCTTGTGATAGGTGACTTAACCCTTTAAGGGGCAGAAGCTCCTGGCTGGGGGAATGAAAAAATAACACTTGTATATGAGAAATATATTTTTTTTATTAATTTTAAGATATTTTTTTTTTTTTTAAAAAAAAAACGTGGTGTCGACATATTCGACACTGCCCTTCAGGGTGTATGGAACTGAGCAAAGCATGGTACTATGCACAATGGAACTTGACATTTTGTGCACTGTATTTTGGATGTTTTGTTGAGGTTTTTGCTGCTGCATGCTCTGCACCTTCTGTATTTGGGTAGCTCCATTGGCATGTGAGACCCCACATCATTCAACCTCAGTTCATCAGGTATTCCGTGAATGGCCTTCTGTCTACTTGTTGGCCCTTTTGGTTTTTTAGTTATAAAGTTGGGCGATTGTGCTATAGTCCTTTTCCTTGAGCTGAAGTTGTCTATCAGGTTACGTGCAAGCACGGTGCGGAAATGCAAGGAGGTCATAGGGTTGTGAACTCTGTCATTTTGGGTGTATATTATATAGGCATTTGTAATGGCAGAAT